ATATCCTTTAATTTTGTTTCATTTTTCTTTCTTTCTTGTTAAATATTCTTTAATTTTCTTTGTTTCTTTCTTTTTTCTCTTTTTCTTTGTTTATTTGTTTGTTTTTCTTCTCTTGCTTTCTTTCTTTCTTTCTTTCTCATTCATTCATTAAGAAATCAAACAAAGAAATAAAAAAGAAAGAAAACAACAAAAAGAAAGAAAACAAAAAGAAAGAATGACATAAATAAACAGAAAATAAAAAGAAGAAATCTTTTGAAGCCAAAGAAAAAAAACAAAAAAACTAATAAAGGATTCTATCCCATGAGAATCTAACATCATTTTCTACCCTCATCCATTTCTTGCTGCTAACAGAATTCCAGTGACAATAACTGCAAAATCCTCATCAAACCAAATATAAGAAGAAAAAAAAAACGGTTTGATTTATAATCATTATTCTTAAAGCAAAAAGAAGAATCGAAAAAGCAAATGGTTTTAATCAAAATAATATTAGCCAATCAAATCCTGACCCTCACTTTCCAAGGGAGGCTGATAACTCTGTCTGGTTTGTTCTTTTGACCCTTTCGAGTTCCCTGGGACATATGTGTCCCACGGATGCTTTCAACACGTTCTGCGGGACATAATTGTCCCCAAAACGCATTGATCTAAAGCGGACATTTATACGCACCACAGTTATTGCATCATTATTTCGCTTACGTGAGAACGCTACTAAACGCACAGCATTCACGTCGCACTCGAGGAAGGGGGAGTGTTTAAAATTATTTCCCTGTTCCAACGGCAGTACATTGTCTGTTCACACTAAGTGTTACTTTTCTATATGTCTTTTTTTATGTTTAGATTATCTAATAGTATACACAATACGAGATAGGAAATACGGTCCAATAAAGAAAAATGTTACAAAAATGTGTACTTCTTTTAGTTAGGGAACAATATCGTCCCACCAGACTTATAGAAGCCCTGAGTCTAGGACATATGTGTCTCAGCACACGTTTATGGCCCTATTTTCAATTTGTTTATTATCCTTATAGATGCACAAATAATAGTGTTATTAGCCCCACCATTATATGTAACTCTTGAATAAATTATATATATATATATATATATATATATATATATATATATATATATATATTCAACAATTCAATTGATAAGACACCAGAATTGTTGAAACAAAATGGCTATGTTTGTAGTGATTTTATAACATATTTATGTTAAAATTTTCACACACACACACACACACACACACACACACACACACACACACACATATATATATATATATATATATATGTATGTGTGTGTGTGTGTGAAAAATATAGAAAATAGGAAAGAACTCGTTAGGTAAATAATCCAAAGTCCTTTAGTATTTTTGTTATTATTGTTTTGAAACATGAGAACTCTTATGGAATTGGTTGGCACCATATTTTTTAAATAAATAATTATATATATATATATATATATATATATATATATATATATATATATATATTCCAGTTTAGGATTGGTGTATACGGAATAAATTTCAATAACCAACAAATACTATTCTTAAAAGAGTGCTCAATACAGTGTAGAGCCTATATAATTATTTATTCGAAAGGTACATTACAATCTGCTTTGATTGCTATGTAAATAAGAAAGCACATTCTGTTCTTGTGGTCTTTGATCACCATGTCTGGGGGGTCAGCTTTGTTCTTTCTGTGTTTCTTCTAAAGTCCCATAAATTTGTTTTCCTATCTCTGTAACTGGGTCGAAACAAGCAACCCCCCCCCGCTCTAAGATCAGACACATTTAACATAGGTAATGGTCTTCCTAATGCGTGTAATGTATGCACTTGTGAGTACAATTTTTTGTATTTCTTTAAGGCATGGAATACTAGGAATTCCTTAATTGGATCTATTGGAATCTATTTCAATTAATCCGAGTGCTCCAACTACATCTGGAATTATTGATGTTCTCAAGTACAACATCTTTGAGATTTTCAAGATTCTTATATTTTTGAAGATCTTCAAAGATACATTAAAATCTGCATGGACTGCCATATCAATAAGGAAGCACATTCTATTTCTGTGGTCTTTGATCACGATGTCTAGGCGATTAGCTTTGGTTGTTCTATCTGTTTGTATTATAAAGTCCCATATTATTATTATTATTATTATTATTATCATCATTTTCTTTGATTTCTGGTGTTTACACATTTCTTTCCGGGTCCCGCCCAGGGACCTAAGGTTAGAAATGGCGTCATGACACTTCCCACTGACAAAAAAAAAAATTACATAGATAAAGCCCTTCGTAAGGTGTGGGCTGTACTTGTCAGAACAATTTTTGTATCTCCTTGAGGCATGGACTTCCAGGAATCCCTTCAATTAGTCTACTGCAATCTTTTTCCAACCAGTCCTAGGGCTCCAACTACAACAGGGATTGTTGATGTTCCCATATGCCACATTTTCGAGATTTCTATTTCAAGGTCCTTGTACTTTGACAACTTTTTGAATATCTTCAAAAGATACATTGCAGTCAGCAGGGACTGCCATATCAATAAGGAGGCACCGTTTTTGTTTGTGGTCTTTAATAACAATATTCAAGGGTTGGATTTGATTGTTCTGTCAGTGTGTATTGTGTAGTCCCATAGAATTGTAACAGGTCCTATCTCCGTAACCGGGTTTGGGTAGTGTTCATACCAGTTTCTTTCAGTTTTCTTCCCGTAGAAGTTGCAGATTTTCCAGTGCAGATATTGGCCCACTCTGTCATGTCGGGTTTTATATTCAGTGGGTGCTAACACCGTACAACCTGATACAAGATGATTATTATTATTTCCTTGGGTTTCTGTTGTCGACACATTTCCTTTCGGGTCTCTTCCACTGATCATTTTTTGTAAAAACAAACAAAAAATTAAAACGAAGATCACACGCATTTTACATAGATAAACCCTTTTGTACTGGGTACTGTAATTGTGAGTACAATTTTTTGATTTCTTTAAAACGTGGGTGACCAGGATATTTTAAAGGCATGAACAACTAGGAATCTATGAGTCTATTAGAACATTTTCAAATCAATTCAACGACTACAAGTGGAATTTTAGATGTCCTCATATGCCACACTTCAAGATACTTGTATTTTGATAGTTTTTTGAAGATCTTCAAAGATACATTACAATCTGCAGGAATTTCTATGTCAATAAAAAAGCACGTTATCTTCTTGTGGTCTTTGATCACGATGTCTGGGTGATCAGCTTTGATTGTTCAATCTGTGTTTATTGTAAAGTCATATAAAATTAGTTCAGGTCATATGTCTGTAGCCATTGTCTTGGAGGTTTTCAGAACAATTTTTATTATCATTGTTGTTATTATTATTATTATTGTTGCTATAATATCCGGTCCTTCCAAAAGAGCTAATGGTACCATTTAACAAAACACTATGTGGCGAGTAGAGATAAAGGGAAATAACTGAGACATCCTGAAGAGGCATGGCACGTAGACCTAGAACAATCTACCCGGTGGACAAAATAAAGGGTTCGTTCGAAATTCCAATCAGCTAAAGAAGGCCGGAGCGTGCAACGGCCGAAACGCTGTGAATATGGCAATGAAGATAAGGAAAACAGTCCGAATAATGTAAATAATGCAAGTAATCATAATACCACATCACAGAGATCCAATCCCCTGAAGAAGGCCGGAGAGTACAACGTTTCGGACGTTGTAATGTAATGTAAATAATGCAAGTAATCATAATACCTCATTTCAGTGATCCAATCCTCTGAAGAAGGCCGGAGAGTACAATGGCCGAAACGTTGTGAATATGGCAATGAAGATGAGGATAACAGTTCGAATAATGTAAATAATGCAAGTAATCATAATACTTCATCACAGAGATCCAATCCCCTGAAGAAGGCCGGAGAGTACAACGGCCGAAACGTTGTGAATATGGCAATGAAGATGACGATAACAGTTCGAATAATGTAAAAAAATGCATGTAATCATAATACCTCATCACAGAGATCCAATCCCCTGAAGAAGGCCGGAGAGTACAACGGCCGAAACGTTGTGAATATGGCAATGAAGATGACGATAACAGTTCGAATAATATAAATAATGCAAGTAATCATAATACCTAATCTCAGAGATATAGACAGATATTGCCAAAATGATTATTTAAATTACTAAATTTATTCCTAGTATTATGATATTAATAATTATGTGCCTTTTTCTACCCCGAATATTAAAATCATCGTATTAATTTGAGTTTAAAATAATAATGATAATAATATAGCTTTAACGTTAAAAAAAAAAATCAATTCCCTTGGTAGTAAAATTGAAAATTGCAATTTTGGTGTTGAAAATTGCGCCAATGGAAATTCAAAACTATGAATGATCGTCATTAACATTTTAAAATTCTTGACAGTCTATTTCTATCTTGATTTTTCTTTTAAAAGATTACATTTATTTTTTTCACGTTTTTTTTTTCTTTTTATCTTTCTCTTTGCGAACGCATTTTTTTTCTGCCTCCTCCTCATCCTGTGCAAGTGGGTTTCAAATTTGATTTTTTTTTTTTTTTTTTTGTTCATTGAAACTGACGAGCGAAATCTGCTTCGTTCGAAATCGTTGGCGCCATTTTTATTGCAAGTGGGAAAAAAAAAACACCCGGGAAACTGAGTGTGAAGGTGACTGTTTTTTTTTTTTTTTTTTTTGTTTGCCCGATTCCCACATTAATCCTCTGCTCGTCAGGCCGGCTTTTACATTTCTACGAACAAGTCCGCAATATCGAAGTTGGGTTTTTTTTTCCGCTTTAAACCAGTATTTGAGCTGGGATTTGCGTATTCTCCTTACTAAGATCTGAAGGAAGCTTGACTCTGGGCATTTCAGCTTCTCAACAGAACCTAATTGCACTAAAGAGGAGAGGTTGTTGACAGTGGTGGTGCAGACTTGGCAATTTTTAGTCTTGGTCCCTATGTATGCGTATACGCATCCCACTTTAAACCCACCTCGAGCCACACCCTGAAACTGGGGGAA